CCCGAGAACTGTCGACGCGGCCGCCGGGGGGAGGGCGCGCGTCGGGGGGGCGCCCATAGAGAGAGAGAGAGAGAGAGAGAGAGAGAGAGAGAGAGAGAGAGAGAGAGAGAGACGGACAAGCGCAGTCGCGGAGGGTGAAAAGGAGAAGAGTCGAGAGGCGATGGCAAGGGGCGGCGCCGCGCGGGCCGAGAGCATGTGCGAGCGGCGCAGGAAACGAAAGAAGCGCGAAGGGGATGGGGCGTTAAAGTGGGGCGACGGCGCAGTGCAGAGGGCGCGGGCGGCGGCTGCAGCGTCGAGGGCTTAGGGGGGGGGGGGGGGGCGGCCAGGGGGATGCGGAGGGCGGCCCGCAGGTGAGTGGGAGGAAGAGAGCAACGGCAGCAAGCGTGCGCATGTGGAAGCATGGGCTTGCGGATGGGGGGGCGGAATGCTGGTCAGCGCAATGTCGTGGAGAAGGTAGCCGATCGGGTTCTGGCGCAGGAATTGCCCAAGGCAGCATGTGAACAAAAAAAGGCCGCCCAGAAACGCGCGGGCGACGAGCCTCTCCTGCGGGCGCTTCGCGGCGGCCCCGGGAGGGGGCGGGGGCGTCGTTATGGGCAAGATCCGGGCAGAGCTTTTCGAGCAGGGGGCGGGGTGGGCGCGCGGCGTTGACTTCCAGGAAACAGCGCTGCAGGCCACGAACGCGTCAGCCCTGGACGGGAACGCGATTCACAGTGCATTTGGCACGGGCGCGCGCGAGACAAAAAGCCCGAGCGCGGGGGGCGATGGAGACGCAGAAGCGAAACATAACGCAAAAAAGGACATGGCCGCGCAGCGGATGGCGCAGTGGAAGTGGCTGGTAATTGACGGGGTGAGCGTGGCGAGCGCGAACTTCCTTGCAGAGCTCGATTCGCATCTGCGGTCGTGCATCTGAGCAACCAGCGACTGGAAGGAAGGCTGGCGGCGTGGACAGGCCGCTCGGGGGCGTGAACGTGCTGTTCTGCTGAGATTTCTATCAGCTGGAGCCGCCGTCGGGAACAGCCATCAATGCGCTGCCGACGTCCTATCCGAAGAATGCCGGGGAGTGCGCGCCCGGTGCCGCAGGGGGCCACGGGCAGCGCATCTTGTGGGGAGTAGGAGGCGAAGGGGCAGTACAGGGCATGAATGACGGAGCTGACGGAGTGCACGCGCGTGGAGGGCCGAGACGAGTGGTTCCTTCGGGTGCACGACGAGTTTCGTCGAGGCGCGTTTTCGGAAAGAACGCGCAAATTCTTGCGTGGGCGGCCGACGGACGTGCCGGGGTCGTGGGTGAGCGTAGCACCGCAGTGTGGAAGCAAGCAGCGTCAAGCAAACGCACAGGAAATTACAAACAAGTAACGACCTGGAGCGCGCGGCTTGCAAAGCTGAGCGAGAGAGGAGGCAATTCGTTGCGGCATCGCCGGAAGAATCGCGATTTCGGGGAGAGCAATTCGTAGGAGTTGTTGCAATCTATGCCAATCAGGACATTCGGTGCCACGCGGGGAAACAGAGAGCCGCGCAGTGGGCGAAGGAGCGAGGAGAGCAGCTCCTATGGGTCACGGCGAGAGATCGCCCGTGCCATGGGGGGGAACAGAGATGGCCGTACACTGTGGAGGACATGATACGGTTGCCGAGTCATCGCGAACAGGAGTGTGCGAGCTTGCCCGGGTGGCTGCCGTTGACGAAGGGCATGCCCGTGGCGTTAGGAGATCATTTGGATAGGTCGAAGAAGCAGCTGCTGCGGGGGCGCGCAGCGACGATTCATGGTCGGGCATTGCACGAGGACGAAATCGTGGGGGACGACGAAGAGGAAGTTTCGTTGCACTTGCCAAGAGTCATCGTGTTAGACTTCCACGCGAAGGAATGGCACTTGCCAGCTTGGGAGCTGGGGCTGTATGTGATTTTTTCCATCAAAGTAGCGGCGATGGTTTTTGGGCGGGCATCGGAAGCGCCCACTGTTGGGCGTGAAGCGAGCGCACTTTATGATTGCGCCAGCGTTGGCAGTGACGGCGCGCGCCGCGCAAGGACGGACAACGGCCGCAGTTGCAGCGGATCTGGAGCGAGGGCGCGGCGTAAGTTGGATGTCCAGTTACGTCGCCGTAACGCGGGCGCGGAGGCGGGAGACTCACTGATCTTCAGTCCTTTCGATAGGAAGCCGCGCAGCGAAGGGGGGGTGCCGGGCGCGCAGAAGTTGTTGCAGGTGCTGCGAGGGGAGAGTGTGGATTGGGATGAGTGGGGAGCGAAGCTCATGCCTCGAGACCAGTGCGAGCGGTGCCGACGTCGGTTGCTGGTGGAGGCGTTCTCGAAGTACGAGTTTCAGCGGAAAGAGAGGCTGGCCTTCTGTAAAGAGTGCATTGCCGAGATGAACATCCGGGACGAGAAATGGTGCAAAGCGCGCAACGCATGGGCTGCGAAAGCGGAGGGCGACGGGCGCGCCCGGAGGGGCGGCGACGGGGGCGCGGGAGATAGTGGCGACGGGAAGGAGGCGAAGAAGACTCGGACAGTGCATTGTGCCAAGCGCACCCGTGCCAAGGCAAAGCAAGGGTCGCTCGCGGCCGACGCGAAGTGGAATGACAGCGTATTAAGAGTGCGATGTTCGAGCCAGACGTGCCTGGCGCCGTTTGACGAGCAGGCGGAAGTGTCGGATTCACAGCAAAAGCACAATGCAGCGGGAGTGCGGCTGTGTCGGAAATGCGCGGAAGAACTTAAGAGGTCGACGCGCGAGTCCAATGATAGGAACCGCAAGGCGGAGGCAGAGGCGGAGCCGTTGAAGTGCTGCGCGCCAGGATGCGCGGTGAGTTTTCGGGAGACAGGCCGTTTGAGTCCAGACCAGGTGATGCATCACCGGACGAAGGGAGACAAAGCGGTGTGCGAGGACTGTATCAAACGCGGCGAGACCGCGAAGGTGGCAGCCGATGAGACGAATCGGTTGAAGTGACTGTTGACGTGTGCACCGTGCAAGAAGGAGTTCGTTCGGCAGCAGCACATCAGCGACGAACAAGAGAGTAAACACTTCACGAGGAAGAGTAAAGTTGCCTTCGCAGACTGCCGACGGGTTCACGGCGCGCAGCTGGCAAGCTTATCAATGTAGTGGCAAGTGCCAGAAGAAATTGCCGAAGTCGGCCTTCTCCGTGGACAGTAGCCACGTCGCGCGCGAGGAGAAGAAGGGCACCCTGAAATGCAAGGCATGCAAATAGTACCGTTGAAGTAGGACCAGCGGGGCTGAAAGCGAGAAGGAAGACGAAACCGATGAAAAGGGGAAACAGCGGTGGAGAAAGCGGAGGAAGAGGGGGAGGGGAAGGATGGGTGAGAGGCGGAAGGGGGTGAACGGAGGAGGAAAAGGAGGAGGAGGAGGAGGAGGAGGAGGAGGAGGAGGAGGAGGAGGAGGAGGAGGAGTCACGATCTCGTGCGCGGGTCAGTACTCCGATTTCTGGTGGGCCTTCGGGATGTGCGACGGAGGAGACAGAGAAGAAAGCCTCGCCTTCGGGGGCCCTACTTGTCGCCGCGGCTGGGCGCGACTCGATCAGCCGGTGCGTTCGGGGATGTCCGTGGGGATCTTGCGGGGGGGCTTGTCGCGGGCTTTCCGGAAGCAGTTCGGAAGGTTCCCGGGGGCCTTTCTTGGAGGCGTTTTGGGAGCCTCTTGGGGCGTCTTGGAGGCTTCTTGGGGAGTTCGTTGGGCCTGTTTGGGGCCTCTTCGCGCTTCCTGGAGGCTTCTTGGGGCGGACTGCCGGATGTTTCGGTTCGTGGTCCCTGTCAGGGGGGCCCTCTTGGGCCCGTGTCAGGCGCCTCTTGGGCCGTCTTGGGCGGCTCTTGAGCCGTCTGGCGGCCCTCTTGGGCCGTTTTGGGGGCGTCGTGGGGGCCTCTTGCGCCGTCTTGGAGCGGTCTTGGGGACCTGATGGGCGGTCTTGGAGCGTCGGGCAGCTGAATAGGCGAGAAAGCGAAACACATTGAAACAAACACAATGCAAATCAACGATTTTGGTCGCGTGGGGCCTTCCTTGGAGGCCTCTTGGAGGTCTCTTGGGGCGTCTTGGAGGCCTCTTGGGGCGTCTTGGAGGCCTCTTGGGGCCTCTGGGAGGCTTCTTGGGGCGTGTAGGCGGCCTCTTGGGGCGTCTTGGAGGCCTCTTGGACCGTCTGGGGAGTGTGGAGGTGCCCTCTTGGCTTGTTTTAGGGCTCTCTGCCCGCCCGTGGCGAGCTCATTCCGGGGTCTGGCGCGGCCGAGGGGGGGTCGCACATCTCTGGTTTGGGGTCCCGGGGGGGGGGGTATGGGGGGGGAACTATCTCACACGCCTAGAGACCCACAAGGGGTCGGCGGATTTTTTGGATTTTCCGATTCCAATCTACTTTAGGCGCCTTCCTACTCAAATGATCGAGTGGCTTCCCCTCTTCCCTCCCCTTCATGGGGCGGGCGGAGGCCGAATCTACTTCCGACGCCTTTCTACTTAGCGCTTCTACCTACTTCTTCCGACCGATGGGCATTCAGAGTTGGCAATCATTCTGGTCATGTGTCCCACTCAAGACCCATTTCTGTGGGGCATCTACAGTTTGAAGGGGCAGAAAGGCACGCGGGGCGCCACATCAGGTCGTGTAGCGGTTGAAGGGGAGGGCAAGGGACCCCCATTTGAAAGGCACAGTGGTTGGGACACGGAACTAATCCGGTTATATTAGTAATATGTTACCTGTGTCCTAAATGACAGCCTTGACAATCTTCCTACTCCTCCTCCTCATCCTTATCCCCATCCTCCTCATCCTCCTTCTCTCCCGAGTTGGCCCGCGCCATCGCTCGCGCCGCTCGTAATTACTTGCAGCCGCCGGGGTGCCCAAAGGGGTTGAGTTGTGAGGTATGGCTATGGTTTTGACTTCTTGCACGCTCGGTCTCCCCCCGTCAGCCTCTCTCTTGTCCTCGTCGGTGTCGCCACGATCGTCGTCTCATCGTCGTGCTCGTAGTCGTCGCCGCCGTTCGTCGTCGTCTTCGTCGTCGACGTCGTCGCCGCGTGCCCCGCGAAGGTTGCCGAGTTCACCATCGCCCCGCGCTTCGCCTACGATGACCTCGGATCCCCGCCGCTGGTGCCCCCTGACGCTACCATCGTCTGCGAGGCGCTCCCCTTGCCGCTGCTGCTCCTCCTCGTATTCCCTCTGCTGTGCTCCGTGTTGCTTGTCCAGCCCCTCCTTGCAGAGGGAAACGGCGTAAGCATGAACTCTCGGAGGTCCGTGCGGACTTCTTGGACGCGCCCCGTGCGCGAGAGAGGGGTGTCCACAGCGCAGATCGAAGGACTCCGCGCGGAGCTCCGAGAGTTCATGGTTATGCCGTCTTTGGTTCCTTTACTGATTCAGTATCGTTTGACCGATCCCTATACTCATCCCCATCCCGGTTGGGGATACACGCAGTCGGAGGACGAGGGGGAGGCGGAGGAGGGGAAGGTGGAGGCAGGGCGACATTGCAAACGACGACGGCTTCTTCGCGACGACACGGAGCAGCGAGCAGGCGTTACGACGGGACGGGCGGGCACCGGCGACTGGGACTTCGGGGATGACACTTTCTTCGTTTCTGAGGGCCGCATGTTCTTTGATATCATTCCTCCCCTCCTTTCCTCCGATTCGTCCTGGCCCGATCCTTCCTCCTCCACTATTTTTTTCAGATTTGTGGTCGATAACGAAGCTTTAGCGCAAGCCCTCAGTGGCTCGTCGTTCGTCCAATGGGAACGGCTCTCACAACTTTCGCCTCTAGCTGACTGTTTGCTCCAGAGCGTGACCGATGGGTGGAGACCTCCGGATCCGATCGAAGCTCCCGTTTTGTGGCGGCCCCGCCACCAGAATCAAGAGGCTGATCGTTTGTGTAATGCAGTTTTAGATGCAGGCCGAGGTTTCTTATGCCTCCACCCTCGCATTGATGAGTTGTTAGCTGCGCCTCACAATTGTTTGGCCCACTCGGACGGGGGGTGGCGCGGGTGCGGGCGGAGCGCGGGCGGTTTCACTCTCCGGGTCTCCCAGGGGAGCGGCGACTGGGAGGTCGCGGCTTTCGGGGGGACGTGGGAACCCCAGGCAACAGATTCATTTTCCGCCGAAGTGTCGGGGCTTCGGCTAGCACTTGCTGTGTTCGCCGCTCTGCAGGGGACAGGCGATCTCTCTCAGCTCGGAATCCCAATTTTCAGACGTAATGTGTGCTACAGGTATCTGCATTGAGTGAGGCTCCATCGGCAGGGACTGAAGAGATGTGCGGGGAGGCGGCCTTTGCGGTCAAGCCGAGTCCAAATAATATATATATATATATATATATATATATATATATATATATATATTATGAAAGAGCGTGTTCTACCGCTGCTGGCGGAAAACCGCGGGGGGGGTCACTACCGGTTCGAACCCCTCCCCCCCCCCCTCTGGAAAACCGGGGGGGGTCACTACCGGTTCGAACCCCTCCCCCCCCCCCCCAGTTCATCATGAAAAGGGGGGGGGGTCACTACCGGTTCGAACCCCCCCCCCCCCTCGAACTCGAAAACCGGGGGGGGTCACTACCGGTTCGAACCCCCCCCCCCTCGAAAACCGAGGGGTGGTGCGGACAGTGGTGGGGACGGTGGTGGTGGGGACAGTGGTGAGGGGACAACGGGACAGTGGTGGGGACAGTGGGACAGTGGTGGGGACGGTAGTGGTGGGGACAATGGTGAGGACAATGGTGGGAACAGTGGGGACAGTGGGACAGTGGTGGGGACGGTGGTGGTGGGGACAGTGGTGTGGGGACAGTGGGAATGTGGTGGAAACAGTGGGACAGTGGAGGGTACAGTGGTGGTGGGGACAGTGGTGAAGGCGGTGGCGAGGACGGCGGTGGGACAATGGGACAGAGGTACAGTGGGGACAGTGGTGGGGACAGTGGGGACAGTGGTGGGAACAGTGGGACAGCTCAGTGGGACAGCGGAGGAGTCAGTGGGACAGTGGGGACAGTGGGGATAGTCGTGGAGAAAGTTGGGAGAGTGGAACCGTGGTGGGAACAGTGGTGGGGACAGTGGGGGACAGTGCGACAGTGGTGGTGGCACTGGTGGGGACAGTAGGGGCGGTGGTGGAACCAGTGGGGACAGTGGTGGTGAGGACAGTGGCGCTGGGAACAACAGTGGGGGATGTGGTGAGGACGGTGGTAGGGACCGGGAGTCGTTTGCTGGAGGTGAGAGGGGAGGTGGGGAGGGGTTCGAACCGGTACCCCCCCCTCCGGTTTTCGAGGGGGGGGGGGTTCGAACCGGTAGTGACCCCCCCCGGTTTTCGAGTCCGAGGGGGGGGGGGGGGGGGTTGGGGGAAGGGGGGGGGGGGGGGGGTTCCAGCAGGGGGGGGGGATTTTCGGGAGGGGGGGGGGGACCCCCGGGTTCCGGAGGAAAAGGGCGGCAATTTTCCACAGTAAAGCGGCGGTGGATCACGCTCTCTCTCTCTCTCTCTCTCTCTCTCTATATATATATCATATATATATATATACACACACAAGTGGCACGTGTCTGCCCAGGCTCATACAAAAAACTGAAGGGGCGTTTGAAGCAGGAGTGAAATGCAACAGCGACGTCGCACTCGAGCGCAAGTGGGGTTGCCACACCTTGCGATGTGTGTATCAGGGCCCCCCAGGAAGCCTGAGGAGGCCCGACTTGGATACCAGAAGAGGCTCCAGGAGGCCCCAGGATTGTGAGTGTTGTGTGTGTGTGTGATTTGTGTTCTGCGTTGTGCGTGCTTTTTTGTTGCGTTGTAGGTGTTGTGTGTGTGTGTGTGTTATGTTTGTCTAGCGTGTAATGTGTTGTGCGTGATTTGTGTCTGTGTGTGTGTGTGCATGTAGTTCTGAGGCCCCAGGCGGCCTTAGGAGGCCCCATGGGACCCCAGGAGGCTTCAGGAGGCCCCAAGAGGCTCCAGGAGGCCCCAGGAGGCCCCAGGAGGTTTCAGGAGACCCCCAGGAGGCTCCGAGGCGGGGTCTGGGGTACCAGAAGGTTCAGAAAGCCCCAGGAGGCCCCAGGAGGTTCCAGGAGGCCCCCATGAGGCTCCGAGGCGGGGTCTGGGGTACCAGAGGGTACGTCGGGGCTCGATTTTGGGAGGATGGTTTCAGGCGAAACCGCCATCCTCTGAGAATCGGGGTCAAACTTATTGAAATTACCATGTGTTTTTGAAGGTGTTATGTTAAAATGTTGAAATTCCCATGTGTTTTTGGACCCTAACGTCACGATCTGCGTGAGGGGTGCCACCGATTTTCAGAATTTCGAGGATGCCCCTAGCGAAACGGCCAGAAAAATCGCGGACGCGGCGCCCCGCGTACGCATTAATCGCCTTTGAACTCTTCTCCCTCGGAGAGGTGCGTATGATAATATATATATATATATATACATACATACATACATACATACATACATACATACATACATACATACATATGTGTATATATACATATATACATATATATATATATGCCCCTCGAAACTCGGAGAGAACAACCTACATCCCCTTCCAGGGGTGAAGTCGGCCAGTGGGGCCCAGGCCATGCCAGTGGGAATAGGGATCGGTTGCACGTTGCTCACTCACTTGCTCCTCGTGATCCTCCTCCCTCCTCCTCGTCCTTGGGTCCCTGCGTCCCCTTAGGGCCACGTCGCGGGGCGGCAACACGTGGCACAACCACGAAGGAACGATTGGACCCGCGTAGCGCTGAAGAGGAATTCAGGCCCAACAGAGAAAGACAGAGCCCCAGATCGACTCTTGTTGAAGAAGGGGACTCGCCTTTTGGCCCTGGAGCGTTCCGCGTTGCCAGAGCTCGGCCTGGATAGCGCTCCCCCGACCGGCCCGACCGCCAAGAGACGGGCCTGTACGCGGACTTGGCCCCGGTTGGCTGCCGGCCGCCGGGGGGAGGGGGTGTTTGCTCACAGGGAACAGTCAGAAACCCCTCCCCGAAGGGGAAGAAGGGGAGTTGGAATCAGGAGCGAAACAAGGACGTACATGTACATGAATCCGCGCTGGTTTCGAGAGCACGCACTGCACAAATGTTCGCATAACGCGGCGGGTCTCGCGAATCGCGGGGCCGTGTTCATGTACATAGCTGGGGGCGTACGTCCTTTGTGGGCTCCCTAGAAGGGGAGTTGGAAAAGGGAATTCTCGAAACCGCTCAACTCCAGCAGCAACTGCGGAGGCACACGGTGCCGGCGGGCCTGCCGGCCTGGCCAGCCGAACGGCCTTCCGGTGGACTCTCCAGAGGTCCACCATGCTGCTCCGTGAGAGCTGGCTGCGGCCCAAGACTGGTGGCTCCGAACAGCACGGAGGCCGTGCTTCACCACCCACCAAACCACCCCAACCCAACCCGAAGGGTCAGATTTACCCTCGATTTCCAGTGGGGGGGGTCCGGGAAATATCGAAAAAACACATGTGGAACCCTTACCCCCCCAACCCGAAATTCGGGTCTTCAGGTTGGGTTGGGGTGGTCTGGTGTGTAGTCAGTGCTGCTGAGGTCCGTAAAATCTGCATCCACAGCTCAGCATTTGGCAGGCCGTCATGGGGCCGGAGGGGACCTTGCAATCGCAGGCTACCGCGACACCCTCCGCGTGAGAGAGCAGCAGATGTAGGGCGTACATTTCGGCACATCCGGACTGCTGAACAGGGTGGGGCAAGGTCGGCAAGGGCCTGTACAGGGCCCCATCAAAGCCTCCATGGCGATCCACTTGACTGGCTCGAGCGCAAGACCTCCAGGGTGTTTGCTCAAAGTCCTGAGTTGCCTCTGCTTGGCCCATTTCTCTGCGTGCCCACCATGTCGCTGGACAGCCCACAGCACGATGGCTTGGCGATGCTGTCGCACCACAGAACTTGCATTTCGGACAGGCCGTCCTGTGACCCATGTGCAGGGCACACTGCATCGGAAAGCCGCCTGAGACACTGCCTGCCCAAAGCTGCCTCCGCCGCCTGGCCTGCACTGGAGCCGACGGAGAACATGAACGACTGGCCCCGGCCGAGGGGCTCTCGCAGGACGCAGCCGTGAGACCTGAGACATCCGCACCCTCGGATGAGAGACGCCTTCGACCAGATGTGGGAGAAGACGTAGATGAGTTCTCTGTGATCCTTCCAGGCAGTCGGGCGACGGGGGGCCAATCGAGCCTCCTAAAGGGTGCAGTAGAGAGCGCCACCAGGGCCTCGAACCTGATTTCAGTCAAACTCGTGTGAGGTCAAACTTATCGACAACTGCTCTTCGCGCCATGCCCTCGTCCTCGTCCTGGTCGTCGTCGTCCTCCTCCTCCTCCTCCTCTTCCTCCTCTTCCTCCTCCTTCTACTGCTCCTGCTCCTGCTCCTGCTCCTCCTCCTCCTTCTCCTCCTCCTCTCTTCCTCCTTCTCCTCTCTATCTCCTCGTCGTGCTCCTCCCCCCTACAATTACACACTACGAGTGCTGCTCTCCTTCCTTCTCCGAAGATGGCCTCAGAGTCGCTCGCCCTGGGTCGCGGGTCGTCGGAGCGCCCAAAATGGCACCAACGAGAATGCAAGCAAAAGCCGGTCTTTTTTTTGCCGTGTTGGGTCCATTTTGACTTGCGGGGGAGGCCGCCCCAATCGAGGACCCCCTTTTCGTTGATCGATCACCTCCGAGATGGCCACCAAGCGGCCCGAAAAGCTCTCAAGACGCCGTAAGAGGTGGTGGAAACCGCCAATCGGCCTCCGCGTATTGTTTTGGGTCCGAGTTGCTGGATCCAGGTCCTTCCTCATCGTTGTTGCCCCCCTCCTTTCCCCTCCTCCGCCTTCCCCTGGTTCTCCTGCTCCTCCCGCTCCTTCACTACAGTTCCTGCTACTGCTGTTTGTCCTCGTCCTTCTCCGTCCTCATCCTCCTGCTTTTCGTCCTGCTCATCCTCCTGCTCATCCGCCGCCTACTCCTATGCACGCAGCTCCCCTTTTTCCGATTGCGCATAACACGGTGGGCCTTTCGGGGAGTTCCAGGTCCGCAATATGACATGCGTCCGCGGGTATAGGAACAGTCAGTGCAATGTGAAGGGATGAGAGAGAGGGGTAGAATGTCAGAAATTGCGCGAGCGCACCTAGCTTGTCGTAATCTCTCCTACTCATAATCAGTGCCATCATTGTTGTGCTCGGCGCTTCCTTATATTTGGGGGGGAGTTTGCCTTCTTGGGGGTCTCCTCGGGAGGCCTCGCGGCCACTTGGAGCTGTCTGGGGGCCTCGCGTGCGCGTCTTGGAGGCTATGCTTGAGCCGCCTTAGGCCCTCCTTGAGGCCGTCATGGGCTATCTGGGGCCACCTTGGGCGCTCTGGACTTTCCAGATCCAGGGGCGAGACTTCCCCTAGTGGGGCGGGCGAACCTCTCCTATCCTCGCTTGGGCAGGGGACCGGGGCGTGCGGAGGGTGCCCGCGCTTCAAGACGGTCCCAAGAGGGTCCCAAGAGGGTCCCAAGAGGCCTCCACGACGCTCCAAGACCGTTTCCGTCTGTCAGGGTTCTCGCCACCATGCTATTCGTCGCAGAGCTGGCGATTAAGCTGATGGCCAGCTTCCGAGAATATTTCTTTGGCGACGACTGGAAGTGGAATTGGTCTGACACATGCATCACACTTGCTCAAATACTCAACGTTGTGGTGTCCATCCTGGTAAGAGGTATCGGAGATTTGTTAGAGAACGGCACCGTCATCTTAGGTATTCCAGAGCGCGGGCTTACATAGAAGTTGTATGCGGAGGACAGCGTCCCGCCCAGCCCCAGAGCCGCCGCCTCCGACCGCCAACGTGCAACAGCCGGGCAGCAGCTGGGGCAGGGCCGACATGGGAGGGCGGGCTGTGATGTGCTGGGGGGTGACATCCACAGGGTGTGCTTGTCACTGCCCCCATGCTTGTAAACGTGCACCGTCAGACTTGGCGTCTTGCTGCCGAGCAGGTCGAGGAAGTTGCGCCATCTCAGCACACTGAACAAGGACGATTCACTGCTCGGAAAGAGGCCCACTGGTCTGCCGCGCCAGTCTGCCGTGCTGGTTTGTTCGGCGGTGCCGTCCTCGGCCGGTCGCCACGCTGATTCGGACATCGTGGTTTGCGGTAGGTTCGTGTCGTGTCGACGCGGTGGCGACCCCGCCGCCGGGGTCCAAGGTTGATCGCCGTCAGTGGCTCGGAATCGGCCAACGTGGAACGATCCAGCGCTCGAAAAGTCGCCGATCGCTCAAGGTTGAGCGATTCAAGCGGTGTCAGAAGCCAGCGCTGGGGTCGCCACGACACGAACCTGCCGCAGGCGAACGGGGGAGTCTTGCGGCATGGTGAGGGGCAGGGGTATCCCCCCTTCCCGACGGGGAAGGAGGGGGGTTGGAAGAGGAAGCGCATTACACCACTCCTGTCCAGAGAGCTGGCGGGAGCCCTCCCGCGGCTCCGCGATGCACATCGCAATCCGATTCTCTGAGCTGTTGACTTTCCGCGCGGCCCCGCCAGCACATCCCGAAGCAATGCGTGGGAGACGGCTTACGAGAATGCTGAATTCAAACGTTGGGTCGCACTGCAGCAGAGCCGCAAGCCCGCGCCGCGCCCAGGTGTAAATGACAGCGCATACAGAAGGCGATCAGAGACTCTTCTGCAGTGGCAACCGTTTGGCAGTCGCTCACGAGGACGACCGCACAGACGGTTGACAGACTGAGATGAAAGCAATTGTTCTGAGGCAAGATGGCGCGCTGCCCACCGCCGCCACGAGGTCGTCGTCGTCGTCGTCGTCATCGGCGTCGACGTCGGCGACGGCGCCGTCGAGGTCGATGTCGTCGCAGCCGTCGGTCGTCGGTCGTCGTCGTCGTCGTCGTCGTCGTCGTCGTCGTCGTCGTCGTCGTCGTCGGCGTCGCTCTATCATTCTTCCAGTGCCGAGTCGCCCTTCCAGGGCGCGGCCCTCCGCAGGCTGGCCTCGCTCGCTGGGTCACCGTCTGCCCCGAGCACCGCAGAACAACGGGATGCACCCATCCCATCTCGATTCCCAGATCCCAGGCTACTTTGGGCGCCTTCCTACTTCAATCAACGAGCGTTGTTCCCTTTGCCTTCATCTTTAAGGGGCGGCGGAAACCCTATCTATTTCCAACGCCTTCCTACTTCATGTTTCTACCCACTTCTTCCGACCGACGTGTGCACTGTTGGTGCTCCGCGCGGATTTCTTGGATCTGCGCTGGGGCCCCCCTGGCGGCGCCTCCGGCGCTGCCCCTGGCGCGATCCGCGCTCCAGGGAGACGGGTCCAGCTCAGATCCAAGAAATCCGCGCGGACCGTCAAAAGTTAAAGCGCCGGCCCCAGCATCCTGCGGGTTGTACACACCCCGCCCACCCGCCCAGCAAACTGGGACGGGTGAGACGGTTGTACGATGGGCGTGGGCGTCGCCCTGGGCCAAGTCATCGATGAACACAAGCGCCAGCCCCCGTCAAAAGTTTGTGCCGCTGTTGTTTCCTTACTGTCTGATCTTGGGATCAGCCCGAGCGGGCCCGCGCGCCTTGCTTCTGCAAGCGCGAGGGGGACACTGTGCGAGTGCCGCCGGCAAGGCCTGGTGAGCGCACTCACGCGCGGGGCCCGCGCTGTCTGGCATGGTGAGAGCGCCCACCCAGACGAGTTGACCGAGGAAATCTGCGCCAGTTCACTCGACGTGGGCATTCGAGTATCTTTGCAGTCCCTCCCCAGTCGATTTCGCTGATCGACGTGCATCTCGCTGGATCCATTCGGTTGTTTCTTTTGGACGTCGATTTGCTACTCCGCAGGGGTCCACTCAGAATGCGGTGCCGGGGGCACATGGAGTGCACTTGGCAGCTATCATTAAAGGGCGCTTTGCTAAAGGGTGTTATGTTCACTTTCGTTGCGACTGTATCGTTGTGGAATAAGCATGTCCCTCGCAGCTGGGGATCGAAAAAGAAAAACATACATAACCATAAACTTTTGGCGCTCCGCGCGGATTTCTTGGTTCCGCGCATGGGCCCCCCAGTGGCGCCTCCAGCGCCGCCCCTGGCGCGCTCCGCGCTCCAGGGAGGGGGGGTCCCAGCGCGAATCCAAGAAATCCGCGTGGAGCGCCAACAGTTTATGTTTATGTTTTTTATTTTAGAGGAGGCGGATGAGTACGAGGAACAGAAGGACAGGCGCTGCGCCCTGGTGCGTCTTCTCCACCCCCCCGCCGTCGGTCTCGGCGGTGCGGCCAGGTGGAGCTCATCACGTGGACCTGCGTGGACGACCTCTTCCAGGACGGGCGCGCGGTCACTCGGAGCAGTCAGATATCCTACGTCCCGAGCAGTAAAACATATGTCTAGGCTAGGTTATTATTGTCGTCAGGTATTTAGATGTGATTATATATATATATATATATGCACATTGGAACCACGCGCGGGCACCTCCTGTGGCGCTCTCGCTGACGGCCGGCTCCGCCTCGAAGTTTCGACCAGAGCGCACGCCTGGCGGCGAGGAGGGAGGCCATGAGACCTGTGCGGCAAGCGAGAAACACGGCGGAAGGTCGTTGGCCTTTTTTGGCCTCGGGGCCAGACATGTCACCGACCTGCCAAGGTTAATTCCGAGGTCCCTCCACGCTGTAGCAGTAAGGAAGTGCTTTCTCGCTTGCACGCGGAGCTTTGCTTGGAAGATCTGGGGCATGAGCGTCTGCCTCTCAGGGTCTTCGCCGGGCCCGGGACGGTCAGTGAACGGCTCAAGATGACAAGGCGGTCGTTGGAAAGAGGTCCAGACCTCGGGGAAGCCACGCTGCGAAAGGATATCACGTCGCCGGATGTCTGGGGGAGGCGAGAAGGAGTTCAGAGCAGCTAGAGTGAAGTGAAAGAGCCCGAAGAAGGAACCTCTCTGGGCTTTCTTGGGTTTCCTCTTGGGGCTCTTTCGGGCGATCTTGGTGCCCTTTTGGGCCTTCCTGGGACCCTGTCGGGCCGTCTTGGGAGTCCTCTTGGAAGCTTCCAACGCTCCTCATTGCGCTCCCTTGAGGGCGTCTTGGGGCTCTCTTGGGCCCCCTTGCTTGGACGAGCTCGGAGGCTCCCAGAGCGGTCTTCAGCCGTTCTTGGCTCGAAAAAGCAGCAACCAGAAACTCCTTCAAAAACGAAAGGGAAATCAATGATTTGGGTTTCTGGGGGCCCTCTTGGGGACCGTCTCAGTGCCCTATTGCAGCGTTTTAGAAGTCTCTTGGGCCTGCATGGCGTCATCTTTTTCCATCTTCGAGCGCTCACGATTCATCTCAAGGCTTCCTTGGCTGGTCTTGAAGGCCTCTTGGGCTGTCTTGACGCCCTGTCCGGGCCATCTTGGAGGCCTCCAGAGGGTGTGCAAAAAAGGGGGCCCGATGCCATCGAGGTGGGCGAGCACCGGGGGGGGGCGTATTTGTTTATGTGTACACCCAGCGCGTTCGGGGACGCATTCTCCACAACACGCTCCATCAGGTAACCGTATGGGGGGCCATGCACGCGGGCGCGGAGGGCGGCCGCGTGAGAAGATGGAACCCAGCGCGTCCCAGGACGCATCCTGCGGAACACGCCCCGTCAGGAAGCGTAGTGGCCCAGATGAAGCCCTGGGCTTTTAGGCCTCTTGGAGGCCTCGTCGGGCCTCCTGGAGGCCCCGTCGCCGATTGGCCACTGGAGCTGTCGTTCCGCCAGGGGGATCGACCGAGGGAGGACATCGAACCCAGCGCGTTCTGGGATGTCTTCTCCGGGATCAGAAACGACAAGGCGAGGGCTTCACAAACGTAAGGCTTGCCCTTGGTTTGCAAGGTTGTGGGCCTCCTGGGGGTCTCTTGGAAACCGATTGGGGTCATCTTGAGGCTCTCTTTGACGGTGTCTCTGGCGCCTTTCTTGGGCCGTTGGGCGTTCTTCGGGGCTTCTGGGACTCTCTCAGGGCGCTCGTGGCCCGCCTGACGCTCTGGGGGTCCATTTTGGGGGACTGGGCCGGCCGGGTGCTTTCTCGTGGCACTCTTCAGAGGCTCCTGGGTGTTGTTGGGACCATCTTGGGACTCTTTGGGGCTCTTCGATGGGCTCTCCGAGGCCATTGGGGCGTCTTCTAGAGGCCTGAGGAACCCTTCGGAAGCGAACAGGCGAGATCTGCCAAAACGTACGGGTGCCTCACGGTTCCCCAAACAGTGCTTGCACATAGGGGTTCTTACGTCTTTTCTGAGGGACTGGACTTGCGCGGCGGTCTCGCGGCTATGTGGCCGCCGTCGCCGCACGGTCGCCGCCTCGTCGCCGCCCGTCGTCTGGGCCTGCGCGGCGGTCTGGCGGCTATGTGGCCGCCGTCGCCGCCCCGTCGCCGCTTAGATTTTCATTTCTAAAAGATTATCCCAGAGCGACCCTACCTAGGAGTTGGAGCCCCGACGAGAGCAACATTAGTAGTAACGGTAAACGCCGTCCTCCTTCTTCTCCTCATCGTCGCAGTTGTAGCAGTAGCGGTAGTAGTAGTAGTGGTAGTAGTAGTAGTAGTAGTAGTAGTAGTAGTAGTAGTAGTAGTAGTAGTCGTAGTCGTAGTCGTAGTCGTAGTCGTAGTCGTAGTCGTAGTCGTAGTCGTAGCAGTAGTAGTAGTAGTAGTAGTAGTAGTAGTAGTAGTAGCAGTAGCAGTAGCAGTAGTAGTAGTAGTAGTAGTAGTAGTAGTAGTAGTAGTAGTGTTAGTAGCAGTAGTAGTAGTAGTCGTAGTAATAATAGTACAGTTTCATACCTACATCTACATATAGACCTACATCCTCATCTATACCTACAGCTACATCTACATGTACACATGCATCTACATCTACATCTACATCCACATCTACAACTACACTCACATATACATCTACATCTACACCTACATCTACACCTACATGTACATCTACATCTACATCTACACCTACATCCACACCTACAACTACACCTACATCTAAATCTACATCTACACGTTCGCATTGGTTTTGCTTTTCCTTTGCATTGCCTTTGTTATTGCTCTTGCCTTTGCCTTTGCTTTTGCTGTTGGTGTTGCTTTTGCTTTGCTTTTGCTTTTGTGTTTGCTTGGTTTTGCTTTTGCTTTGCCTTCGCACACACACAGACACACGCATGTTTTGCATTCGCTCACCGGGTGTGCTTGAGAATGCTCCGGATCCGGCCTACACTGCACGACTTGACATTTGGCATGCTATGCTATGCTATGCTATGCTATGCTATGCTATGCTATGCTAATGCTGCGCTAAGCTAGGCTGAGCTGAGCTAAGCTAAGCTAAGCTACGCTAAGCTAGGCTAGGCTAGGCTAAGCTAAGCTGAGCTCAGCTAAGCTAGGCTAGGCTAGGCTAGGCTAGGCTACGTTAAACCAGGCTAAGCTAAGATGAGATAAGCTCGGCATCTGTCGCACATTGCTTTTGATTTGCCTTTCCTTTGCTTTGCATTTGCTTCTGCTTTGCTTGGCTTTGCGTTGCTTGTGCTTTGCTTTGCTGTCGCTGCTGTTGCTTTGCCTTTGCTTTGCTGCTATGCTCTGCTATGCTATGCTGCGCTGTGCTATGCTGTGCTGTGCTGTGCTGTGCTGCGCTATGCTATGCTATGCTATGCTGCGCTGTGCTATGCTGTGCTGGGCTATGCTATGATATGCTGTGCTGCGCTATGCTATGATACGCTATACTATGCTATGCTGTGCTCTGCTATGCTAAAGCTTAGCGAAGCTAAGATGAAGGTAAGCTAAGCTAAGATAAACCTGAGCTAAGATGAAATAAGATAAGCTAAGATGAGATAAGCAACGCTAAGCTAAGGGGACGTAACTGGGGGAACCGCGGGGCGGATACTGGGGGAATCGCCCGGGGCGGTTTCCACTGCCCGGCCTCTTTAAGAAAGAGAGTAAGAACATTCTAGGCAGAGCCTAGGTAGGGAATTCTGAAGATCTACCCCCTCTACCCCCCCCAGAAGTAATGCCCCCCCCTTTCGTATTCCAATGTACGTTTGGTTCTGCCCCATCGTCCATCCTAAGTATGAGTTCGTACCATCCCAGGCAGGCTGGATTTCCCCCCATTCACCCTTTGCAAAACGTATTATGCGCGCACCCGTTCATTACAAGTCATCAGTTTTCATTAATCCGGTGGAACAGTTCAACGAGATGCACGCGCGCGTCGTCGCGCGCGCATGCCGGAATCCTTTCTGGAAGAAGCCTTCGGCTTCAAAAGGATTTCAAACTTGAATGCCACAAAAGCATTTAAAACTTATGGTTTCGCAGCACGGTTTTCATACACGGCCTGCGGTCGCGTTCTTGCAGGTCCTTGAGAAACCAATGTTCGTTTTTTAATAAAATTCTATCACACGGGCCTCTCGCGCGCGCGTGTCGAAATCGTTCGAACGCCCTTGCGCGCGTGCTGTCGCAAGGATCGTTTGCAACAGATGGGACGAAGTGCGCACGCGCGCGTCGTCGCGCTTGCCGTAATCTTTCAAACACCTTGGGTTTCGTACGGATGATCCCAGTAACACACATGATTTTGCAGCATCCGTTTTCAAACAGAAACCTGCGCGCGCGCTCCTGCGAACTCTTCAGACCGGTTTTTCATCATTGTCACCAAATTCTGCCAAACGGGCCTCTCGCGCTGCATGTCGAGCTCATCTGGAGGCCCTTGCGCGCGTCGTGGGGGTGCACGACCCGTGTCAAATAATACCACGCGGGCCACTCGCGCGAGTCGGCCGCGCGCACATGTCGAACTCCTTCCGAAACCTTCATCACCGACGCGAGGACATCGTCATCGTTGTCGGCGAGCGTGATCAATTCTGGCGCCGTCATTGGCCTGTCCGTCGTCATCGTCACCATCATCGCTTGTTTCATCATCGTGTTTACCGTTGTCGGCGTCGCCATGATACCGCACCTACCCTAGCCACCGATTTGCACTGAAGCGCTCGCCGGGCAGTGCCCAGCGGTCAGCGCTACCGCGGCCGCGTCGGTCGCGCTGCACAAGCTGACCGCTGTTCGGGCGAGCGGGCGCGGGCTAGCGCGGCCACATGAAATGCACCAGCCAACGCAAAACACGTCGCAATCGCCGTCGCATGGGTTTGGCAAACCAAGTTGCGGGTGGGCGGGTGCGATGATTGCGCGATCAACGCAGATGACAATCCACCGCGAGCATTGGTGAATTGCACAACGTAGGTTTTGTGCTTGAAATATAAAAAAACGAGTTCGGGCCCACCGCCCTCCCGACGCCGCCGCCCCCCCCTCCTTGGATATCTGTAAGTTACATGCGATGCAGCCCTATTGTTCATGTTAATTATGTATGAATTCGTATGATCCC